GCGGTTGTTGATAATGACCGCGATCCTAGAGAGCTCGCGTTTTATGTTCGGACTTGTTCCGTTGGAACGTTTTGACGGGAAGCATGAGCACTTTTGGCTCCCCGGATCTCGTCTATTTCATTTGTAGCACACTTAAGTAACTTCCTTATGTATGTGTTTCGCTTCAATAATGCGCGACAAGAAAATTATACACGAGGAATTATATCGATACTCTCTCATGAAGCTATTGAAACGAAATCTACGAAATGTTTCCATTCAAGTCTAACGATGAATGGGAAAAGTTTCTTTGGCACCGATATTGTAAAAGCGTTTATGGGATAAAATTTTGAATGGCTTTCCTGACAATGTGGTGTAAGGAACGGAATGTATGATTCGTTAATAGGACAATTCGTGTAGAAGCTGCACGTCTCGTCTGTGGCCGCGATGGCGAATAGTGCGCGACCGATGATCATGGAAAAAACTTCACACTATGTTAATGGCGTGCCAGTTGCAATTACAATCAGGTGATTATCCAAGATTCTGTTTAAGTTAAGAATATATTCGAATAGAATATCTTTAATTCTGTGAAAAACGAAACATAGTAAGAATATAGGTATAACACAATATAACTACGGCCTATTTGTAATATTTTTCAATCTAATGACCCCGGATGGGTACATGAAGAAAATCCAGCCATTACAGAAAGTGCGGTGTAGATAAAGGAATTTCTCTCTAGAGGATGAACTTCTGTTTTCACACCATACGGTAATAAAGCGAAACGTTCACGTTTGGATCGTAAAATACCAACACGAGATTCCCTTTTTCTAAAGCCATAAGTCGGGGATGAGAGAAAAGTTGTCAGAGGGGTTATTACTGGTAGAATGTAATAGTTGTGTGGCGTGCAATCTAGTGTCGCCTCGCTAATGGCCCGATGGCCTCTAATCCATCTTCGTGCTCGCGCTAGACGTGACTGAGATGAATGTCGCCATCCATCCACCTGCACGGGATCACTAAACCTTGTCCCAATAAATATCTGGTCACGGAGCAGAAGTTAAAAGTTAACTGATCCTATGCTTCCGTTGAATTTCATGGAGTCCTGTGCGTATAAGGACATTTCTTCGAATGTTTTATTGTTCTAAGCAATTACCTGATATATTTATAATTGACTATTACGGCATAATTGTCTGATTTATGAAGACGGTAGATAATTCACGTAAAACTGGTTGAATTTCCCTTGCTGAGACACTACTGACTTATTATAGTTTATGTTGATCTGTTATCAAATTTATCTATTGTTTGTAAGCACCAAACATTCTAATATATTACTACTAGGAAGATCTAATCTCACGAAATTGTTCATCGAAAGTGAAAACTTACAAATGGATGTAATTTAGATTTAATTAGACCGAGTAACTGTAGACGGGCCTATGAGAAAAAAACTAGATAACGGGCATTGAACGCCATTGTGTCGAGAGACATAAATTATGTTCTTTAACGATGTGTACGTTGGGATCTTTTGTAGACAAACCTTTTTATAATAGGTACGTTCTGAGCACGTTTCTTCCTTTAATGTTTGCATGCTCATGAACTTTTATTACCTATAACGATGGATTTCGTAAATTGCTTTCATATTTAACATCTCGTTTTATAAAATGAAAACTGCATGTGCCAAGGACTTTTTATTTATAACTAAGTAATTTGTAAATTATGGATTTCTAACGTGAACGTAATAATAGAGATGGAGTACAAAGAACCGTTATCGTTCTTAATATTATATCTTTATGAAGAAGAAACATTTTGGGAAGTTCTTTTCTTTTAGTAAATAATTTACATCTTATTGATTTTATTATACGACTTTCACTTTGTAGGCAGTTTTTTATATCAAAATATAATAAATGTATAAATAATATCATTGTTTTATATTGGAAACGGAAACCATGTTTGTAATTATGTAATTTTGATTGTTGATACTTTCTGAATACTTATACTTACATACTAAACTTCTGTGCACGCAATGTAGTTTCAACATAAATTAGGATTTATAAAAGTGGTTATATTTATTTGATTTCGTCGTGGCGGTAAATTTGTAATCGGTTGCAGAGAAAGCGATTAAAATCTACGAAAATAATTTTGACGAATTTTTCTCTGTATCAGAATTCAGTACCGCGTTTAACATTAACCCACATGCGTTTTGTAGGTCACTTTATGTAGAATAAGCAACTAAAGCTAAGTACGGATTTAAACAATACTACTGTTCTCACGTCGCATTCTTTTAAAGAGAACAATCATAATGTAAGCTAGTGTAAGCTATGAATCAGTTAGGCATTTGCATACCAAATTCGTTATGATAGGATCAACTCATTTTTTTTACTAAATAAACGAATGGTAATCAAATATATTGTAGCTCCGACATTAGTTGCTTTCAATTGTACGTATGTAATGTATGTAGATGATCAAGAAGGGGCTAAACAATGCTCGTCTCACGGCGTCTTTAATTTAGTCACAGTTGCTTAGTCTCCGCTTTTACATTTAAGTTTTTGTCCACCGTCACCCATGTTAGCTATCGGTGAAAATCCGTGACAAAAACCATACAATGACAAATGACCGCTGCTCGACTTGCCTTCTGTACTTGATTACATCCGACCAGTTTAATGGACGTAGCGGCAACTGAACTCTCTTATTTGATAGTGATACTTCAAAATATCTCTACTGACATGACAAACGCTTTCTTCTATTTTTATCATGCTCTATGGCTTTATTATTTTTTAATGTTCCCTTAGAAAATATAAATCGCTTAAAAATATATATATGATGGCGGTCAAGAGGTGTATTTAGTGGGAGCCGGGCGGACCGACCGGGCAGCTCCCGCGGGTCCCCCGGGAGGGTGGTGTTGTCTCGCGCATTACTTATAAATAGAGCTTTTACACCGAGTTATTCTGAATTTACGACGCCGCTACGAAACACCATTACGGACCCGATTCGAACGGCGGCGGCTACATTAGTTTATGAATGAGGAAATTTACATACAAAACGGGATATCACGTAGGTATAGAAACGATGGATGTTCGTGAGTTAATATTTCGAGAACAGGTGTAACACCGCTCCTGTTTCGCGAAACCAATTAAAACATTACCCTTAGAATGTTAAGGGAACAAGTGAAATTAACTAGTTCGCAGTATTGACGGAATATGCTCGCGATCGAGTACCTGTCCTTTGATCACCGCACGGCATAACACTGTAGACTGATCCTTCCGCTGATGAATAGTGGTGTTAGACAAAAGGGCTTACGACGATGTCTATCTAACTTTTAATTAAAACTCCTATTCATTTGACTTACATTAGTTTACTTTGTTAAAATAATTTTCGTTATTTCATTACATTTTTCAGTTGAAATTATTTAAACATTGGTTCTAAAAATCATTCACGAACAATAGCTATCATTGAATTGTGATAATTGAGATCGTTTACGATTTTTAAAGATCTGAGGTATAGGCTTAGATAAAACAGAAACATTGTGTCAAACATACGTGTATATTTGCCGATACGAAGTATCCTTATTGATATGACAAGGGAAAACGGGAAATCTTGCTGAAGTTACAATTCCTGATAAACGGGATACAGGTTTAATATCGTGATTGTGATTTGACCAAACCCATCGACGTTTGACCTAAAGTCTTTTCCAGAACAGTTTCCAAACCAGAATTTCAAGCTTAATGCCGCTTTATTTATTTGTAACGTTATTCCTTACTGATGTTGTATAACGAAACACGTGTCTAATACTCATTGACACTTACTCGATAGTAAATCAGCTATATCTTCGAATCCCACCGATGTATTTTGCCGACTGAGAATTGTGCCATCAAAGTGGAATCTGAAAAGCTTTATTCGATTTAGGTTAGCCTCGTATAACACTTGTGCGATAGGCCACCCCTGTCCTGTCCAATAAATTTAATATATCTCCAAAGGAGCACTTTTACGAAATATAAATGTGCAAATTGTATAAATGCTTGACTATAGTGTAACGTTCAATTGAATATTAGTAGAGTTCTAGTAAAATCTTTAATTACAGTTTCGCAGTGCCACATTGTCAATGCTTTTTAGTTTAAAATATGAAAACTGCGTCAACTGATGTTTTTGGTTTATTGAAATGTAGTTTTCGTTGCCTTTTGCATGAGGCCGAATGAACAAACAACCATTAACATAGTTGGATTCCGGAACTTGCTTAGATGGAGTGGATCGGTCTGAGCCACCCTCGGCGCAGGGTGAACGCCCCACAGACGCCGCCTCTACAAATACATTATTAAGAAAGATGGCACATAAGAAACTGGCTAGCAAACAAACCAGCTAAGATGTTATAAGAAGGACTATTGGTCTATAATTGACTCACGTCTGGCGTTATAACTCGAGAATTAGTGTCATTTTTTAATGCGGAGAAAGTATTTGTATGACATGCGGATTTTAGTTTTTAATGTTGATGTAGGTTCATAATAGTTTTCAAGTACACTATTTAAATAGCAGCTCTTAAATCTCTTAAAACTATTTAATCGGAAAAACGGTTAGTTCGTTAACCATGTGAATGAGACGGTCTTGTAACGTAAATTTATCTAAGTTGATTACATTTTAGTCGATAGAATTTTGGAGGTGTACGCTTAAGTTAGTTGATATGCTAGTAATGCCTCCCGGCTCTATTGTTTGTACATCACTGATATAGTCATCTCCTAAACATTTTTTGCATCGTTACGTCAAAACTTTGAAAATTTAGAAAACTATTATTCTTAACTGTTACTATGTAATCTATATTTTAGTATTAATATATCGTCGAAAAATCAGATTCGCTATTGTAGAAGATATTCAGTACGTCTTCATTATCCAATCGGCGTCTTCATTACAAGTGGGGCAATGAACGCGGCATGATTTTCTTTTGTACGCTATACTTTTCGCTGTTTACGGACAATTTATAAATTGCACTCTACATTTTACAATAAATAAAAGGTAACTTACCATATTTTTGTAAATCCAACCGCCAAATAAGGATAATCCTTCAATTAGTCACTAAATTGAAACACTTTCACGTTATATACCAATTTTTTTCTGTAAATCACCGATCAATTGTCATCATTAGATCACCACAGTGGGAAATGGGTCACTTTCGTATTGTTTTGGAACCGGTATTGCTTTCACGGTAATAGGTCCATTTCTGAGATGAACGCGCACGCACTGGCGGCTTGGTGTGGACTGGTGCGGCGCGCGCGCCTCCCACCATCGTTGACCTACACCTGGTTTGCTGGTGGCTGCTGCGGTACCGGCTCCGGTAAACAAACGGTTCACCGACCGATTACACGAAGGCCTGTGCTGTGCGACTATCCTCAGCTTCTGTCCGCGCCTCACTTACATATTTGTAATTCATAATGCTAACGGGCTCGGGAGCGTTCGCGCGTTTACTGCACTGGTAGATTGTAGGTCGCTTATTAAAAAAATACTATGTAGATATGATCAACGTACTGTTCGGTTCGTTCATAATTATGATTTACGAAAATGACGTTATTACAAATCAGCTTTAATATGACATTGGCATATACGAAAGAGAAAATGTCTCGGGTATTCCGCGAACTTGATTTGTTTGCTTTCTTTTGCAGGTCGTGTGTTTTGTGAAGTTAAAATAGCCATCGCGCCTTAGTGAAAGTTGAAAATGTTGTTAGCTACGTGACATTCGTTAATTTATGGATGATTGAAATTTTTTTTTAATTGCTGCCATGAACATGAATAATAATTTTATTTCGTAGTCGTCTGCAATTGTTTATTACACTTGAAATATTTCATTGCGTAAAAAACATCATAATATACACTACACATTATTAGTACATCAATACTCAATGATAACCGAATCGATTTTAAAAACAATGTAATTATTTAAGCATGTTTAATTTAGAATTTCTAGCATAGCATTGTGAATGCAAAATTTATCAAATATAATAGTCATTATTTTTATCAATCGCTTCGGTAGAGAAAGTTTTGTTTTAGTTTATTCAGTAATAAAAAAACATATCTTTCCCCTTTATATTATCACTATTCGATAACAGATTAGAGAATCACTATTAAAAAGCCTTTGATAAAGATTGATTTTAGGGATTATTACCTTTGCAGTCGAAATTTTTTATCAATATCCGTATCTGATTTTACGCAAAAGCGCTAACGACATATTAAAACTTTTTAAGCTGAGCTGAAAGCTGGCACACTCGTTGGTAAACGAGAACTAACACTCCATTGATATTATACAGATATTTATACTGACTAATATTTACTAATGTTTAGGTAATTCGCTGAAATATGTTTTTCGTTTTTATGAAAAATTATTTAACCATAACGGGTAACTTATTTCTTTCAGTGAAATATAAGTAGTTGAAAAATTATCAAGTGATAGTATACCTATTAGAAGATAATGGTGAAATACACGTAAACACTAATTAATTGCAAATACCTACTCATAAATATTCCTTTTCGCTCATATATTAGTATCTTTTGTGAAGAGTTGTTATACAGTTGGCGCCATTTTAATTCATTTTGTCTACGAACGGTTGTCGGTAGCCGATCAATCGGTTACTAACACCGTCGGTAACTTTACCTATCAATGGTATAATATCACTTTTGAGGTGTCATTCATAGCACACGCTACGGATGGTAGCAAGAACGGACAGGTTATAAATGTTTAATTTGTTTGTCATCTTTAGCGTGGCAGGCGGCGCACCTAATGCGCGAACCTGTCTGCTGCATCAGAAGCTGCAGTTACTGAACTGTTGCATCCAGCGGGTGGATAGCTCTACGAACCAGGGCGGTAACTCCTCCGACGATGAGTTCTATGACTGTTCCGATGATGACGGCACCGACGACCTTCCACCCTGGGACAAGCCCGTGGGACGCCTCCACCGACTTGACAATGCCACACTCAAAAATGGCGCACCCCTATACGTACCACAGACTCAGGTAAGCACTAATAGTACATGTTAACGTAGCAATCAATTATGCATGCCTAATGTAACGCATAAATGGAAACGCAAGAAAGTAACTTTTTCTAATGTGTCCCAACTTTCATGCAATTAGACTGAGAGAAATGTTTTATGCTCGACTATTTCGTTCGTAACTGTTTATATTATGTCCATATATTAATTACGTACCTATACCTAAATAAGCGGCTTGATGAAATTGCCTTTGTTGAAATAGTCGCGATTGAGGAATTATTGTAATTACTTTATGTAACAGGACCCCGCCCCGAAGACTGAGGACCAGTTAGAAGAAGACGCTGAATTAATGGTGCGCTTGGGAGATGATGCTAGAGCATCAGAACTACGAGCGAGGATGATGAGCGCCTCGCTTCTTTCCGACATGGAGGCTTTCAAAGCCGCCAACCCTGGCGCTGAATTGTGTGACTTCGTTCAGTGGTACTCCCCTCGGGATTGGCTCCCAGATGAAGGCGGTAAATTAGGAGCTCGTATGCTCTTACCCGGCAATCCTTGGGCCGAGACTTGGAGTGTATCGCGACCGGTACCAGCTGCTCGCCAGCGGCGGCTGTTCGATGAAACACGTGAGGCAGAGCAGGTGTTGCACTTCCTACGTTCTCGCACAGTGAGTGCTGTAGCCGAACTCCTGCTGCCGGCTATACTGCGTGTGGCAGCAGCTAAATGTCACGAGGAGGGTGCACCCCGAGGAAGCGTGTCTGTCGGTGGTGTTGATAAGAGACGTACTTTCGAAGTGGCCGCTCGTGAAATATACGATGCGGAGAGGGAAGTGTGTAAGTGTTTATGTGTTCGTACCGTGTTCGGTGACGGTGCTGAAGGTGAGCCACTGGATGTGGCCGGCAGGTCGAGGGTGTTGAGTGCGGCGGGGGGAGCGTTGCCCTTACCGGCGCGCAAAGAGTTCACCCTCCGGGTAAAGGACTCCGTAGCACCGCAGACTATGCGCGCCGCTCTCTCCACCGACATGACCATAATAGGAGTTTTCACTGAACGAATAGTCTGCTTGTAGCATAGTTCGAAGCTGATTAAGAATGTGAACATACTTTGTCTTCCTTTGCCATTGACAATGTTACCGATCATTAAAATATATTGTTAGTAGGTATATAAAGGTCAGCGATCAATTATTGTTAAATGAATCATAAATGTAGGTTATGTTAATTGTATTGTTGCTAAATAAATAATGTACATAGTTAAACTTCTTTCATAGGTTAATTAAAATCTTTTTTTAAACTTTTGAATTGTTTGAATTTAGGATAAAATATTGTTAATTAAAGTTTGTATACTTGAACAGATCTTGTTTTAAACTTATTAAAACGTTAAATATTGAGCTTGCAAATTTGGTATTGATAAAAAGTCATTACCATAATAATTAACTCAATAAATAGAATTATAAACTCCAAAAGAATGACACAGATACGAGACAATGTAGAAAAGATAATCTACACCGACCGAGAATTCAACCCGGGACCTCCAAGGTGGCACACCTTGAAACTGGCCTGTGAGGCACTCGACTGGACGGTCGCCAAATTCCATCATCACAAGACACTGTTTTTTATGAACATATTTAATGTTATTATATGCATACCAAAAAATAATCGAGATAAGACAAAACACGCAAAATAAGTATAAAACATATGGACTTCATAAATAATTAAACGAATATTTAAATTTTCAAGTTTCATTAAATTAAAACGTAGAGAAGGTTACTCTGCTTCAGACTCTGCAGATCTTTCATCAAATTAGTTCATGATTATATTTTGCGGTCACTTAACGTTATGTTATGTCATACTGCTTAGGTAAATTGAGTATTATAGTGTAGTGTAGGTAAATGTATACACTTTGTTTCCTATCACTAATTCGATTAAAAAAAAGGTTTGATGATAAAACGGGCTGATTTTTTAGAACGATTGTATGTAAGTAAAGGTTATATTTCGCGCAGTGTCAGCCTAACCGTGTTCATTGAAAGAAAATAACACAGAAATACATTACTATACGAAATTTTGTGCAGGGAAAGTGCGCTACAAGAATATGAGCGAATGCCCCAGTTTATACAGACTACACCTATACTAATAATATAAAGAGGGAAGATTTGGTTGTTTGTTTATTTGCTTTTTATAGGCTTCAAAATACTCGATCGATTTTAAAAATTCTTTCCACTAAGGATGCTACGTCGTACTCTGGTAACATAGCCTATAATTTACGTGGGTTAAGTCGCGGGAAAACAGCTACTATAGTATGACTAGATATTCTTTCAGTGAAAAGCGAAAAAATGACCGCAAATGCGTAAAAAAGGACAATTTGCCCGTAATTTTATAGATTAAAATTGATAAATATAGACCAAGATCTATTTATTTACATATTACCGGTGGCACAGCATATACCCTATACAATCAATCCCTAAGAATTGTATTGAACACCTGAAAATTATTCTTAATGAAAAATGCTTAAAAAATCCCCTTTGTCCCTGGCACTCTGAGATGGGACGCGAATCCATGACCTTTCAAATTCGATGACTGCTCTAATCACTGAGCTACCGAAGACCTAACAGGAATGACGTATTTTTTACTTTTTCGCTACTACAGGGCGTATTTTCATCAATGTTCAGGCCTGCAGCACCCTCCCCTCATAGAGAGCTACATTTTTTGACTTTCTTTAGAGATAGGTCCTTAGTCCTACATTACCTCGCCAGTCGCCAAATGATCAAGTGTCCAAAATTTTTCCAATAACACTGCTGCCAATTTTTGAAGTAACACTAACATACTTAGATTTTTCTTTATGAATGCTTTTATTGTAAGGTGAATTGCCTTTGCATGACTTTCGTTTATTATTTTGATATGTAGGTAACCATAGAATGACTCAGCCTCGAGTTATATACGGGCGAATATACGATAAAGCCAACTAGCCTACTATCAGTTCTAGGTTAGTACTAGAACATTTAGATGTAAATTTATATTTTGTTAGCAAAGTAGACAGTGTTTCCCTATAGTGGAAATATCAAGTACGAGTGAAATGTCAGAAACAAGCAGAGTGACTTGCCTTTGATTTTATCTGTTAAATTTTACCATATAGCGGTAGGTATCTACGTACCAGTATACAGCACAGCTAGTAATCTACTCTGCGCTACTTTTTCCGTGTACTTACACGGGACTTAATGGCTTACTAACTAGTGACGTCATTTTGTGATCCTTGTGGACACCGGCCGCGTATCGAGGTGCTTCTGAGCGTGAGCGTATGATAGCAACTCGATCAGTGTATATTGCTTCACTATATAGATGCAAATTGAAGGGATCAAGGTGGGAGCGCACGATGTATCGGGAGCTTTTCGGAGGCAGAAATAGGCGTGGGTGAGTTGCCAGTGGACGCATGCGCGCGTATAACGGCGGCCGGGAGCCCCGCTAGATCGCTCAGTGGCGCGCTGGTATGCCCGGTCGATTCCAGAGCGCGCGCAAATACACGCTTATCTGAATCATTAAGAAGATTAACGTTGGTATTAAAAGTAAAAAATATAAAAATGTGATTTTTGATTCAATAAAAAGAAAAATGGTTTAATATTTTTATGAACAGTTTTAAGTGATTAATAAACGTTTAGCGGGTGCTATGGCTGCATCACTATCTAGACATCTGTCATGTGATAACAAAAGCACTTCGCTTGGACGCGGAATGGATTTTAATTACCTCTCAATTTAGACTCTCCGATAACAATATTAGTTGACTGGTTTATGTTAGACGAGCCGTACTTAGTCGCTACGGAAATGTGGATTGTGTACGACATTTATTGAATGCTATGCTCATTATATATATTACCAGAGAGTGAACAGAGCATGCATAATATAGATATTTCAAAGTTTCCGCCGAAGGTGAGTCTATTTTAATTATTTTAATAAACGTTAGAAAATTTATTTATTTCCAAATATTTGTACATTAATATAGTAAAGGGATATGTCAGTTGAGGATTCGCCATATGATTTCAGATTCAGGGAGTTAAATGAATTAATTAATAAATATAAGACAACATCACATGCATGGTTCAGATCCCAAATTAATTAGTTGAAGCACTTGTATTATGGAAATAGGAAAAATTTAACGTAACACAACACCCAGATCTGAGACAATATATAAAAGTTAATTTTAAATATTGTTCCGACCAGGAATCGAATCTACGTACTTATTAACTATCAACATTGGTTTTATAGAAGAGACAGTTTTTCATTTACGCAAAAACTACTCCAATAATATGTATATTGAAATTTGTCATAAGAATTAATCTTAGCTTGGATACAACACAGGCTACTTTTTGTACTGCTATGATTGATATTTGAAGTATATTTAATGCTTTGTATGGAAAAATTGTTAAAGTTTTGAAAATCTCTATAAAATACCGCGATGACATAATATCTATGTGCTAAGGATTAAGCCAAAATAGGTCTTAAGGGTTTCAGAATTACCTTTCATTTTATTTTATAGTATAGTAAAGTGCGTAAGTTAATTAAAAAAAATATGTATAGATAGAAGAAGTTGAAGCAGACTTAGTTAAAAATATATTTAGTTGTTTTGTTGTAATAATAAATAAAAAAACACCTCATACATTATGACATAAAGACAGAAGAGAAGATTTCTACATACTAATATCGTTATGCCTTCATTGCAGGTTCGAATCCTAATTGAGGATCATTTTAAAAACCTTTATTTAACCGTAGGATTACTTAATAGGCTGTTAACTATTTTTCTTTGGTTAAAGATTTAGTTAGACAAATGAATAGGATAGTCATCTTAAGTAAATATAAAAGTAAATAGGTACTTTTAGTTTTTTATTATAAAAGGCTTGATAAGTACTTAACAAACTTAGGTATGTTCATTTATCTTACAGCAAAATATTATTAAATTTACTTATGCGTTTACATTACACTCAAAGACATAATAACCATTATTACCTACACCAACAATATATTAATTTTGACATTATAAAAATTAAAATCAGATTTCGTTTCTGATTTGTCTGTTTAAGTAAAGATTAAATACAGTTTGAGACATTATTAACTTTAAATTCTCAATTCAGAAACCGGTGTAATACTCATATCTATTTAGTCGAGAGAAGTAATTACTGGAAAAATGTCAAGAAATATTTTTAACTAATAGTCGAGAATTTGAATGATACCTAGTGCTTACTTCATTCAAGCACCCGTTTATTTGGTAAAATATCTACTTAAATTATAACCTATTCTCAACTAATTACTTTTCTATAGATACGAATTTAAGTGAACAAGAAACCTGCAAAAGATCCTTAACGCTTTATTAGTTAAAAGTAGATTTACTTAGTTGTACGAAGTTAAATTATACACGGTAGGTCCGAAACGCTTACCTTCTGAAAAAAAAAATAGCTATAAAAATTAATTATAAGTGAATCTCCAGCAACAAGTCTTCATATATGACCTTGAATTCAAGTTTCACGATGGTTATTGGTGTTGTGATGTGAAGCATGCGCGTAAATTAATGGAGCGATGCCACCTGCCCTCCATCTTCAGTGAATAGTCCTGAGGCCATTATAAATAGAGTAGTCGGGGACTTCACGCCGGTTCCGATCGAGGACAAGTTTACCTTAACAACACATTCATATAATAGTTTAACATTCTAATAAAAACCTTATTGGTATGAAATCTGCAATAGTTAATTTGATTACCTTTTCGTGAATCTTCACAAAAATTCCCATAGAACATTTCCAAAATAAACTTTTAACTTAGTGGTTTACTAGTAGCCGTATTTCAGTTCTGCTTGATTTATGTGTGTTCTGAGATTTTGTAACATTCTGAGATACTGATATAATCAAACCCTAATATAATTGATTGTGGATAAAAATGCGCAACTGGAAAAGTGGATAAAAATGCGCAAATAGTCATTTGTAATGAGATAGTCATCATATGTGAAGGTGTACAACGAGGAGAGAGAGCGAATTTCTTAAAATTTCAAACAAAAATTGTACAAGTTATTTCTAAAATTTAACTTTTCAATTTCTTCAATTAAAACGTAAGTAATATTATTATAACCGAAATGTGTGATCATCAATAATCATAATATTCTATTCGTAAAAAAACTAATCGAAAAAAAATTTGACGATCTATTTGCTCATTCGATGAATAAGTAGCTTGTTGATTTCATCTCGTTTTCGCTCGCTCTCGACGCTTAATATAAATCCCACCAAAAACGTAAATGTGAAAATTAATGTGTGATTGTCGGCTCCACTGACAAAAGTATTGATTGATATGTAACTTAGTGTCAAGCTCAGTAGATAGTCCTGAAATTCATTTATCTATAAGATTGTTAATATTTATTTGTGAAATAAAGCATTTGACTTGGCTGACTTTTACTAGTAAATCAAATATTTATCAGAGTGCAATCTTACAATATTTTAAACAGCAATTTGCAAGTGCTAATTGCGAATGAAATGAAGATGACAAATTTTTTATAGAAGTGATGTGATATTACAGATGAAAATTGTTTTTAATTTATGTCATTTTTTATACTTAACTCACTCATTTATTATACTAAAGAATGGTCATTTGATTCACAATTCTATACTGGCCAATATTCTAATGATTTTTTTTTCATTAAGAATGGTCAGAATATTTGTTACTTTGGCCTGGATATATATAGTAGGTACGAGTTATTGATGGTTATATAGGTACAATGTATATTAAACGACGATAAACATAGTATTTGACATAGTAAAATTACCTAATTATAAATAGGCAATGGACAAAACAGGAAAGGGCGAGTAGGTACATACTCAATTACAAATGTCTTTATAAATTGTATTAGGTATTTGCAAAAAGAATATAAGTAAATCTGTGAAACGCTTTAAAACAGGGAATTAATGGAAATATTTATGAAACGATAATTTGCATCCTAAGCAATTAAAAAACGATTAAAAAGATTAGTTCATTAAATTAGAATCGTTCTTTGTTAAACCTGTGACATTTTAGTCAAAAATCATTTGCCAAACATTAGACGAGGGACTTCGTAATACACTTCCAAGCTAATGTTTGACTAAGTAAGTAGTGTAATTACCTAGTTTTCGCGTGACGTCTCCCAGTTAATTTCACAAGAGTAAACTTTAATTATAAATGGATTCCTTAATCATCCAGGATATCTAGATTAGTCTTCAAGGGTTCGGTATACAAAGGACCTAGCAAAGGCTAAAATATTTGTTCTATAATACACGCAATATGCATGCATGAGATATACATGTACTTTATAAGCGTAGCAAATGATAGCTAAAGTCCAAATGACATATTTATTAGTAACATGCATACTACTAGCACAAAATTAGTTTCGTGAAATAATACTGATTATGTAATGTAAATTCGTCTGCAAATACAGGTATCTCTCAAAAAATCGTGTTATCATTATTATAATTTATTCAAACTTTTTTATTGTTACGGTATAATTTACTGTCACGCTACTATATATAAGTTTTATATATGTCAGGAGTTATTTATTTGACCACTTGTTTTTATTCCAATTATTTGTGTAATATTCCATCTTGTTTCACAACCGCGATAACGATTGATCTGTTAATTACATATTTTTAAATTTGTACATATTTTCAGTTTTAATAATTACTTGTTAGGTACTTAAATTGCGCTTTGATACTTAAAGAAGAACTATTCCAGATTTTTTGATATAAAAGCAAAATTGCAGTGCTATTTTGTTATACGGTACTGTCAATGCAAGCAAGGTTTAACCGAATGAAACATACTTCAAAAAGTAATATAGGTTTTATTAGATTGAACCTAGAACACTGTAATAGCGCTGTATTCGTCGCTTTAACAGAAAATCAAACCAATTTTAATAAAATTTGAAAGAAATATTTTAGTTCTACTTCTGACAAATTTTTTAAACATACAAAAACCTTTAGTTTAAATGACATTCTCCTTTTCTGCCATCGGTAAAAAGAATAGAGTTACATAGAGCAAATAATAAAATACTGCTCCGTCATTCAACGTGCTTGGAGCAGCATAAAAGGCAAATCCAGACGAATTTTCCCATAAACCTTTGCAAGTGGGAGCTCTTGAGCCCTTGAATGGAGCGGCTTGTTGACGCGTTCGCCACGAGACTACTTGTCAACACTGCTTTGTCTCTAACTCAATGGGGCCCCACTTTTTGCTTGAAAATGTATTGACTATGACAAAATTTCAATCTGAATTTAATAAAGCCTTATCGCAGGATGTTGTGATGTAATAATGGAATTACTTTTTTTGCTTATGGTGTAATAATGGAATTACTTTAGGGTTCCTCGTATTGCTCGTAGGCATTCAAAATAGTTTGTCTTTATCACACATGATGCCAACAAGATTTTTCTTCATTGAATCTAACAGAAATGAGCTAAAGACTAAACTAAGAACGCGTTTCAAATAAATAAATATAGGTTCATCACCTCCGATACCGACCTTCTTCTGTTATAAAACACGTAGCATAGATATTCTATTAAATAAAAGCTAATTTAAAACCTAATAAAGATTTTAGTTGGAGGTCGTTTTTTAACAGAATGCATAGTTAAATAAATTCGGCATGTCAAGTTACATAATATTTTAATGAACGATTGTTGTGAAAATCATTGCTTTATTCTCAGTTTCAATTGATGTACAATAAATGTAGAGTTTATTGAACGTTGAATTTTTATTTGTTATCTTATAGTATTGTTTATAGGAAAGATAGTTATTGAAAGCGCCGTTGAAAGTTCTAAGATCAGCTTAGTGGATGTTGAGCCATTCTTTTAGTTAGAGCATATTTATTTATACACCGCAATAGTTTGAATAAATATAATATGATCCGGGACTATTTGTTTATATTATAGCCTCGAATTACGGCGGCCAGATAGCGAATAATATGTGGTGAGCGTCAGATTCACTATGGATACTATTACACTTGTTTAATTTACGACCCCATATAAAACCGAAACGATACAGGGAGGTAATAAAGATGCTTTTAGATCAGTCACTTATTCAATTATTTTTGTTCTTTTTTAACAAAATGTTAGATGTCCCCCATTTAAGCTGTAAGCGCATATTACATACCAGCAGTCCATTGTGATTTATGTCGTCCGAATAATTAAAGGAAAATTAAAAACTTAATACAAAAAGATTATTTTGTCCCCGAAACTCTGAGATGGGACTCGAACCTACGACCTTTCACAATCTGGGCAACTGCTCCAACCACTGAGCTACCAGGATCTTACAGGACTGACGAATTTTTCAAGCACTTGTTATTTTTTTCGCTACTACAGAGCGTATTTTCATCAATATTCAGGCAATGCACGCAGACAGCCGAAATACATTTAAATTTTCGATATAGATGAAAATTGTTCTAATGTAATGAAATGAAATGAAAATATCTTTATTCAAGTAGGCACTTTTGAATCGTCCAAAAATATTTTTTTTTCCCTGTCTCTTGTTCCGGACCTCTTTTAGCTGACAAGAAAAACAAGCGGAAGAAACTTATAATATTTCATAAATATTGCATTCAGAATGCTATACCTACTAAAAATATTTTGTAATGAAAAATTATTAAACCTAGCGGGATAGATATCAACGAATCGATTAAATCAACCTATATTCCTTGGTGAAATTGGTTTTGTTTTATTTTAGGAGATTGCCCATCTAATCTAAGTATCAATTCAAAATCATATCTTTTTGAATATTATACATTGTCAATGTGTTAATTATTTAAGTTATTATTACATAATACTAATTTTAGTAATTTTAATTACTAATTTTATACAAATTTTAATTTTAGTAACATTCGATAAGTTACTTTTTGAGAACCTACAACAGTCCACGTTTATCTATCTAACCTACTTAAAAAAAGAATCCTTTGGATTTGAGCTTGGCACAATCGGAAGACTCTGAATGCAGTCAAAAATTGAGAAGAATTAATACAATCCAATTAAGAGTTTCGACATTTTATAATTTTTAGACATATTTTCATGTTTACAAATTTCCGATATGATGTTTACGCTGATATTCGTGTCGGCTGCCTAACGAGCACTTTGTTTGTGAGCCTCGATCCCAACGATCTGGCTGTTCCTGGCGTCCGGCCAATGTATGTTTCCGCTGCGCGAATTATACATCGATGGTTTTACTATCATCCCAGGGACTAATGGTTCAACGAAATTGTCTTTGAATACCGCTGAATACCTATTATTAAACACAGAATTACCAATGTATGTCAGCTAACGTTCAAATGGGATTTGAAATTGCGTTATTAATTTCTACTACGAAGACAGGATTCAATTGTTTTTTATTAAGAGATATCATAGGGCAAGATCCAACTATTGCCATTATCTGAGATTATGGAGCGATTTGTGTGTATGTTATAACGTTGTTATGAGGCGTGCGGTTAGCGATTTGATGCGATGGAATCTGCTGTGGCTTGGGGCGAGATTCATATAGTTTCGTTACTGGCAAATCCTCTGTAAAGAAACCTAGGTATAATATATGTATTTTTCGTTCTTCCAGGAATGCAAATGCAGAATTACTATCATATATTTTTTGCTAAAATATGTTCTTCATTCTGACGTAGGAATGTCGACACCGTTAATTCTCCGTAAAACTAGACTAGAGTCTTTCTCATGAAAAATTTATGGAATAAGTTTAATGATTTTGAATCAAAGCTTATTTTTAACACATGCGTCAAATCTAATTGTCGTTATGTCCTGCCTCAAGAGCCCTTCAAGGACTACGACGCCTCCGCCGATTAACGGGCCAGCCCCGAAGATGTGCTGGATCTATTTTATTGGCATAAACTTATTATCAATACCGGTGTTAATTCTGGACTACTTTTCCAAATCCTAGAAATCTGGTATCACTGGTACTACATCACCAACTTGCTGATTCTAGTCGAATAGCAATTCTTTATTATTTCGATTTCTGATTATCTATTTCGATTTCTGCAAGGCTTTCGACAGAGTGTATTGAAACATTATTCTGCAGAAGCTTATTAGTTTTTAAGTTTGTCCACGGCTGGAAAGGATAAAATAGTTGCTTTATAGAAAAGTGACTTTTTAATTTCATTGTGTACACAGTGTCGTCGTTAAATAACAACAATAATATACTTATGTCGAATTTTGGAGAACGTTGATTTTGAACATCAAGTGGATGAAGACAGTTTTGCATAAACTGACGTGCTGTTGAATGTACTTATAATCAATTTGAGCGGTGTCTTTGTTTCATCTTACAATGGATACTAATGAATTAGCAATTGTTGTCAAATTAGATTCAAAATAAAGTTAAAATTACGACACGGTTTTGAATCTATATATTTAGGTAAATATAATTATAAGAGCGTAATGTTAAACAACTATCTTAAACGTAAAAGGGTACTTTATTTTAAATTTACCTGCATATAACCGGGAAACATAGTAATTTACGATAAGTAATCTATTATTAAGCAGCTATTCAAGTAAACAAACTTGAATTTTAGCACATTTTAAATTTAAAAAGTTAAAACACTGTAATTCATTTATTTAGTAAATTTAGAAGTAAAACAAATGTAACAATCATTTAAAGGATTGTAAATATTGAAGATTCAACAAAATTTTTCTCATGAACCAGATTATCTATTTCTGTTGCCGCTTTAAGAACAAATACAAAAAACCAGAAAAATCAAATAAATTAAATTTAAGGGGGGCCCCATACACCAAGTGTGTTTTTTTGCTGTCATCTGACTGTATCTCAGAGCCGATACTTTAAAATTAATTATCCCCTAAAGTGTCAATTTTACACGCAATAAATTGAAATTTTCATACATTTCTTGCGAATAATAAGTAAAAAGTAGTCTTAGATATATACTTTAGCGGGATAGTTTTCCTTTTAACTTATACCACAGCTATAGTTATACATATATAGGTATTACTGCCATAACGTTTGAATTTTTGCCAACAACCCTTAAGTTGGTAGAGCTAACGAAAATTAGCTCTTTAAAGCATAGTAAGTCACAAACGGTAAACCGCCTTCCCACATCAATATTTATGAAAGACCTATCCAACGAAGCTCCACACTACGGCGAAGAGAAAAAATTTTTTCATCCCAACTTTACATGTAGCTTTTTTTTCAAAATTTAACTTGACCACTTTGTCGGCATAATTAAAGTATATAGTAATGCCAAATTACAGTTTCCTAGTACCCATAGTATTTGAGCCAAACCGTAGACGGACGGACAGACAAACGGACATGGCGAAACTAGAAGAGTTTTTCATATGTCTGTTGCATCAAATCTAAGCCAGTTTGTGTCAAAAAAATGTTAGTTCTTTCCGGCGACTATTGATGAGTAAAACACCTTTAGTTACACCTCCATTGAAAAAACCCGTTCATTTTATTTATTTGGTTCTAATACGCTCTTGGAATTTGGCTAAATTGCTTCGTTTTAATAAAATTAAGCTTGAAGTGAAAACAGATTTTTTTGTAATATTGAAATAAAAAACTTTTTCTTCAAAACAACTCGAATACTAATTTAGGAGAATGTAAAACTGAAAGTTTTGCTTTTTTGAGATAATTTTGAATGTTTCCTCTCTGTATGATAAAAATAAAATAGTTTGTTCAAGCGCTTTAAGCTCAAACCTTTCCAAAAAAAAAAAAAAATGAATTTATGGCTCTTGAAAAACTCCACAAAATGTTGAAAGAATTAGGCACTTGTATAAATTTCCAGAGCGCGTGGCGTGGGAGGTGAGCGATGCGGGCGAGGTGGGCAGTGGTGGCGCTCGCGTGGTGCGCGTGCGCAACGGCCACGCCCGCCGAGCCGCGCACCTCGCTACCCTTCGCACCACCCTCGCCCCCTGCGCCCCCGTCACCCTCATCAGTCACACACTGCGAACCACTGTTGCTATGGAATCTCCCACCCATGCCTGCAGTGAGTAGTAGTAGAATAATCCGAATGAATAATATTGACGTGTAACTGAAAATGTTAAACGAAGAGAAAGATGTACGTACCTACTTTTAGGTGCTATTCTCAAAAATATCGTATTACGTAGTGTATTATATTACTGCAAAACAACAGTACCTCACTTAAAAAAAGACAACGTGTTGTTTTGTTGGTTACCTATCTAATTTTTGGATTAATAGTAGGTGAAATTTATGTTGACAGAATATGAGAGAGCACGAAGCAGCAGTGGTTCATACTGCACGTGCATTAGCAGAGTTGGTCGAACAAGGAGCAGCAGACGAAGAGCGAGCTGCAATACTTGCACGGGCAGCTGCCCGTGCTCCACTCTCTCCGCCTCCTGCTGCTGTCGCTCTTGGTGTTCCACAGCTGCACCTTGGTGTTCTTTATGTCGCAAAACCACCCCGACTTATTGTCTTCCAGCAAAACAATTCAGTTGTCCTACGGCAGTTCTGGAGAACGTTAGCATCAGCGTGGAACGCTACTTCAGTGGTCTGGGCGAACGCGTGGTTTTCCTGCGATAGCGATGACTGGGGTTGGTGGGGCGGAGTGGCTGCAGCTCGGGGAGCTGGACCTTCACGTGCAGCTGCAGCCATTTTCCGCCGCTGGTCGGCGTTGCCCTGCGAGGAAGCTATGTACGACTGGCTCGAAGGGCCACCGCTTTGTGACCCCGCAACCACCGATTGCGAGGCTATGCCTGCAATTGGATCAGCTACCCGTAAACTAGACGTAAGTTTGAATGAATTTCACGTGACTTAGCTTTAAGACTGTTATTTATTTTAAACAATAATAACAATTAAGTGTAAATGTTTGCTTTTAGTACCGGTGCAAATGCCGTGCAAGCTACTGGCATCCAGGAGGCTCGGGCTGGGTGGGCAGTGCGGCCCTGGGAGACGAGGGGTTGTCGTGTGCAGCGTGTGGCGCGGGTGGTGACGTGGCCGCCTGTCTCGCTGATGAATACCGTGCCGCGCTCCTAGCAGCAAATCTAACTGGCATACTTATCTGCTTCATTATTGGATTTATCATATTCAAAAAAAGAAAATGCAAAGTACGTGAACATAATACTCAAATATGTATTATTTTTAAGAGCATGTTTTTCCTTAATAAAAAAAAATATCAACGAATACTCTATAAATTCTTATTAGTTGAATAAATTTGAACTTGTATTTCTTTTTCAGGCAGTAGCTATGGGAATGTGGACAGTATTAGAAGTGGTGCTTTTCGGTGCATTATTCATCTACGCTTCCGTAAGTATTCTACATTTTTATAAAATTTTGAACATCAGTGAGGTATTGCCAGTAGACTCTATTTATGAATAATTGATCAAGACTAGATTATCTAGACCACAGAACACTGATCTAGACAGTAGTGCGTAGATCGAATCAAAATCTAATAATGTTTAAATTGATTACATTTTATAGTTGGTTATTTCTATCTACAATTGCTATTCTATATTGTGGTGTCTCAGTTTACTTCTGTTATTTTAATTGTTTTTAAAATTGAAAAAGAAGTCTGAGAATATTAAAATAAAATTTAGTTTTGTTTGTGCCAACAGATTCACCACCGTTGTTTTATTTAGTATTATTTATTTCTACATAAATAAATGTTCATTTCACAAAATTTGTTTTCCAGGCGGCATCTCAGTATATGAATGATGCTCGATTGCGTTGTATTGCGGGGGCGTGGTTCCGAGAACTAGGCTTCGTAGCATGCTACGGTTCGGTTGTGCTGAGGCTATGGGTACTGCTTGCTGAGTTTAGAACTAGAAAGGCGCATAGATGGACCCCGAGAGACTCAGAGGTGAAATTTTCTTCTAACTGCTAAATAATAGGGATGTCGAGTAATTTTTGTCAGTTTGTCCGTCAGGTAGAATTATTGATGAGTATTAAATACGTCTTTTTTTATTTTTTGCGTAATCAATAAATTACGGCTATACATTGTGTTGAAATGTCGCATGACGTCACACTTTTGTATATTTTCTACAAAACTGTGACGTAGCAAGCCCTTACTCCTCAACTTTAATGACTATTATCTAAGCCATTCTTTGTTTAAATTGAAACAAATAAAAACCTATCTAATATTTTTTCATTATCTGACTGATGAAATAATTTTTTTTTACCCAGTCGTCATTCCCATTTTGGCCAATTAGTTTAATGAAAATCAAGAATGAGTAATGGTAACATCTGCAGGTGCTCCGCGTGGTGGGCGCCATGTTGTGCGGGGCGGCGTGTTACCTGTCCGCGTTCAGTGCGATGGCGGCGTGCGGCGAGGGCTGTGCGCGTACCGCGTGGCATCACGTCACTGCCGCCGCCGAGCTGCTGCTGCTGGCTGCCGGCGGGCGTATCGCGTACGCTGCACGAAACGCCAATGTGCCGTTCCAGGTCAATTTTTTTATATATGTTACTGATAGATATCATACCTGTTCAAACATGTAAGCACCAAAGGGCGTGGGGTTTCCGCTGTGCTTATTTTTTATGATATTTAGGTCTGGGTGGTGGTGCTCATAGAAATTTGTTTTATTTTTTTGTAAATAAATCGCAAATTTTATGAAACTACTAAAATTCTGCTTCACTTAATAAGGTAATGCTAATAAATATTTTTTTTTATCTAGGCATATATTGTATATTAGGATTTCTGCATATCAGGTTTCAGATTTATTGGCATACATTATATGTTCCGATCGTCCTGCTACATATCTCAATTGAATTTAATTTTAATAATAATTTTATTTACCCACTCAAGACCTCGAGCGTTCCAATCGAGAAAAGTGTACTTCGTTGTATTGAATGTAGGAGCGGGGTTGGTTAGCAGCAGCTCTTTGTGTGGAGGGTTTTTGTGGCGCGGCGTGGCGAGTGGCAGCTGCGTGGGGCGCGGCCCCGGAGAGCTCCCCGCTGGCTGCCACCGCGCGGGCGCATCTCTCCGCGGGCGCGGCACTGGCGTGCGTGCTCGCGCCACGCCTTTGGCACGGCTACCGTGCGCGATCGCTCGCGCAAGAGGTCTGTCACATAAAGGCTCTAGTACACAATGCCTTATGGCCCACTAAAGATCCTCATTGTGTACGGTAGTGGTATACGGTTGCAGATATATAGAATATGCACATTAAAAAAAAATATATCGTTATAACACCAAAAAAATATCGGGCACTGAGAAAGTAAAATTTAGTGACAGCTTTTTGTCAAAAAGCATTGTAAACGTGAGACAATTTGGCGCGCACGTCATGACGCCAAGGTCTACGACTAGGGATATGACATTTTAAATCAAAACCGATTTTGATTAATACATAAACCACTAATCGATTTCTCATATAAAATAATTATTTCTAATTTACCAAATCGGTTAAATTAAAATTGACGTTTAAAGCGTTATTTAAATTATAACCTGTTATTTATTTTGTTTGTTCTTGCCCCAGTTGGAAATAAATCATAGCTGGCTGTGTTAGTTAGGTAGATGTCTGGTTCCCTCCATTCTAACCCAAAGAGGGAGGGACTTACCTAGGGATAAAGCTTACCTATTTGTGGAAGGATCTTCTGTTGTGTCTTTGAGGAAAAACCAGGATTACAACTTTTGGAATTAATACAAAATAGACCTACTATGTATTATACTCCATTTTTCGTTTAAATATCTTCAATCATAGAGAACGAAACAAAGGTAAGATGGCGTTGCCCTAGAGTTGGACTTCTCTTCTATCATAGGGATGTGACACATACACAACATCTTCTACCCGCGAAGGTAGGGGTAGTGGGGTCCCAGAACGGACTTGGAGTCATTCCTGCCGGATATCAAGCCCTTTCTCAAAGAGAAGTACCTACATTAAAGGAGTTTGCTGGGTATTCCAATACTCTTTTTGAGCATCTTCGGCTGGTCTATGCGGTCGGAGAGCTCCAGACAGTCAAAGGAGCCGTTCGTGTTTTCACTATGGTTCAAAAAAAGTATTTTGTCTTTCTAAAGGTATCTCGGCGTGGACCAGCGGAGGGGTTCGGTGTGGAGGGGGAAGAGGAGCCCACCTCAGAAGAAGTACGAGCGGAACTAAAGCGACTTTATGTCCAACTAGAGATCCTTCGTAACAAAACTCTGCGTCGTGACAACCCTCACATAAGCAAACGTCGCGGTGGACGGAAACCACCACACAGGCGGTTCTCACTACAGGTATATAAGACAATAATTAACCTTGTAATTATTGAATTTCATTTTAATCATTCTCGTTATTGTTAATAATGTTATGAAAATGATTAGTTATTATAGGTCTATTACTATAAAGTGGCGATTGGTTATATTTAGCTCGCCTCACTCTGCCCTGCGCAGATTGATTTAATATAATATAATACTTTATTATATCAATAATTTATGTACTCTACCAGACAACCTTTTACTGCCATATATTTAATATACCCGTAGTACTCGCCCGTAGCGCGCACAGTGCGGCCTAAATATAAATCGCCCTTTAGTCAATAAAAAAATTGGTTGTGATGTGAAACTATCAGTTCATCTTTAGAATTTAATTCAATTGATATTCATGTAGCTCATTTGTCAGCCCAATTTAATAGTTACAATTTTCGTTATATGTAATAATGGAATTGCGATACGCTTGGTTTGACGGCTTCAAAAATTAATTAACAAAATCCTAATTTGAAAATAATAAAGACCCAATAAGCTGTAATTAAAAATAATAAAACTACATTTTAACATCAACCCAATGAGAATATCGTGAAGTCTGGCGGCCCAAAATAAAAATGTATTTGGATCCCGGGACTCCGGCTCATTTATTTATGACTCAGTATTACTAAAGCTTCTTTTAAAATTCTCGTGACCATCCCAATATGTTGCGACTCGACGTTAATAAAAGAGTACAGATTGGGTAACAATTTGACCCAATTTATAAACTGTTCTATAAAGTTAATAATAATTTTGTTTTTTCCCTTTACTATATATACTTTTTAAAAATTTGCGAGTAGTTTTTACTAAAAATTAAAACAAGAAAATTAGATATACATATTAGCAAACGAAAATTCTAACAGATTGTAATAAATACCTATTTATCGTATTTGTGGTAGGTAGGTTAGTTAACTTACATTTTATGTATCTTTTTTAATTTGTGTGCATATCACCCTTACTTTCCTGACCTTGTGTTGTATCTTTTGTAGTTTCATGATTTCCTAATTATACCTACTTAGATAATTTAGTTGTACTAATATAAATTTCTGTTGTACTTTATTTTTAACATACCAACCAACCTAATACAGTTTTCAAATCGTAGGTGCCTTTTAAGGAATTATAAACTTCAAATGTTATTCAAAGTAGTTGAGCTGTGATTTGTTAAACCAACCGAAATGGGAACGTGAATCTATTAGGCAACATTTCAACCCTTCTCTATTGGTGTACTATTTTCATTCTCATTAATTGAATGTTTCATCTTCCATCCCACTCCGACATTAGAAAAAGGGCAGTCGCGAAAAGGTAAGGAGATGTGAATTATATGGCATGACACAAGTGGAGCACTCGCATGACCCCTGTGGATGTCCGTCCCCTGATGGCGGCAGTGGACATGCTCGCAGCGAGGAAACTCTAAATGTTGACGTCATCCTTTTTACCATTCGTAATTTAACATGAAACAAAGATTCTAAATCAAAGAAATGACTCGACATTGCAGTTTACTTGCTGCGATGCCGCACATCAACAGCGCCTCTGCACCGACCCCGGCCACCACCGCAAAAACTTCGTAATGAACGGATGTCCGCTTTCACTGTCCGACGTTTACACGATCCGATTATGGCAACGTTACATTAAATTGAGTTTGTTTTTATAAAAAAAAAATATCGGCACACTGATAACTGTTGTATTTTCGCTGAATGTGCCCTGTGGCTTCTTCGTGAGCTGATTTATATTTGTCGAAAATCGGTCTTACTATTAACACTTTGCTTGAGTCCTCGCATTTATCGTAGATGTTAATTTAATATGTTGATTTTATAAAAATAATAATGAAATTTGCGTTTGATAATTTATGAAGTCAACAATTTGAATTTGTTTTTCGTGTATATATCACAAATTTCATGGCATGTATGGTTGCTGAAATTACATGATTGCATATTATGAGCATCTTAGCGAAAAGCAACTGTGCTGCTAAATTGTGCAATAAGTCTATAGGAAGTACTAAAGTTTTGTTCGATGTGCAGGCGTTGCAGGCTCGACGAGGAGCTAAGGGCAAAGGCGCGAGCGTGGTGGAAGCGAGCGAAGCTGGTGACGTATCACGAACGCCTGAGGATTCCGTTTGTTCCGCCGAAGGACCCTCACATTACACTGATGGGGATACTCAGGCTTGACGAGACTATGCAATAGTTCGCATCAAAAAATAGTTCGCTTCGATTTTTGAAGGACTTTTGATAATGTTATTTTGAGGCCATTGGGAATTTTTTAATTTCTTTTGACGGACGTTTTTTTGCGACGATATGCCTGTGTGCCGATGTATAAAATGTCGCAATGTGTATTGATTCCTCGAGTGTTTAGAAAATAAATCGAAATGTGATCGGCTGTAGAAGTATCTAATTTGGTGTTCTATCTGGATGATAAATTTTTACTATCCAAACATCTCATTATTCAACAAGGAATTTGTAGGTATAAAAAGTAATTATTTTTTGCCACTTTGTTATATTATGAATAAACTATTATCTTAGGGACTTTCTGTAGAAATTCATGTGGATATGCTATTTCCAAATTATCTTCTGTACAAATTCTACTTTTAAGGAGTTGTACTTATTACAAGCACTTGTATTTATCTGTGTCTGATTATTATTCAAAACTGTTGTGTATCCTGAAATATCCAAATAGTTTATTGAATGTACAAACATAGAAAAGTGGACTGCAACCTAGGTTATCTTTGTCACTATATATCTAACGTTTAATATTACAATCATACAGACCTGTTATTTTTAATTGTGGAATCAAATTCATTAATTTATTTAAAGGCAGAGAGGACCGAACGCCACATTATACACCTTTCACTCATTCACTGTCGTTTTTATTTTTATACATACTCGCCGGTTTTTATGGGTACTGACATCACCTTCACATCAGCACGCGATTGATGTGATCGTGAAAAGTGTGTAGTGGACAACCTCGGCTTCTGCATCCTTCCTTGTTGTATCCATCCTTGTTTAATATCAGTTTTGTCATTCTTCCTACATGTCCGAACCCACGGAGCATGTTTCTGTTGATTTTTAAACCGAGGAAATCTTTCAAATCTACTCTCATTCTTATCTCTCACTCTTAATGCGTTCTGCGAGCGTAATGGAAACATATTTATTATTTATCCTTGAAAAGGATTTTTTTATTATAACGCCATCGTTTTTAACCCGGATGATTTTACTTTTAAAATATATTAAAAATGTTTAAACCATTTAATTTTTTATATTGAATACGTATATGAAATCACTTAATAATATTTAAAAAATATACTCATAACGTGTATCCCATACATGTATGTATCCCGAATAAATATATTATCTGTGCTATTACTATATTATGCGCTTTTATTATATAAAATTTACTTTAACTTGATAAGCGTTTTTGTATTATTAATTTTATCCATATTTCTTATAATCAATTCCTTTCACTTGTTGCTATTAAGTAGGTGTCTATTTTATTTTTGTGATTCAAAAATATTACTTACATTAAATTAGTACTTAATGTATTTTAGGAGAATTATTCTAGTAAAATTTGTACAAATTGATTTGTATAGAATTGTTGTGATTTTTTTTTAAGTTTTCAGATATTACGATTATTGGTGATTGTTATGTATTAATTGATTTGGGAACAAAAGGACTTATAGTTTATAATCATTAAGATTCGGTGAACTCTTTAGTAAAGTTGTATCCAAACTTTGAGATCTATATATTTTTTTAATGACGAGTTTTTTTATCCAAGAAGAATCTATGTATGTACTAGTTTATAACTTGAAATAGTTAAGAGGGCGCATAAAGTAACGACTAATATCAAATCGGTTGTGAATAAATACAAATGAGTAAACTACATTATCAATACTTACTTACTTAAACTTAAACTTCAAACTGAAACATTAAAGTAGATTAAAACATGTTCTTTAAAATAAAACGACTTCCATTACGGTTACGGAATCTGTAAACATCTACGAAGGTACTTCAAAAAGTTTGGATTTTTCAATAATATTCTGATTGGTTTTTCTCTGTAAAAGAGTGATTGTTGTTATATTATTTAATTAATAATGAAATTATAATACTTATTCTACTTTGTAGTGAACATTTCAATCATTTTACAATAATGATAATGTTTCGCTTAAAGATAGAAGTTGAGGCAATCGCAGAATAACCACATAGCGAAATTCATGTTACGACTCTATTGGAAACGCTCACGATGCGTTGTGGCAATGAAGAAAAGCCACGACGAGTTCTGAGTAATAAAACTCGAGAACAGCTGAGCCAATGTAGCTGATTTTGGTCTTGAAATGTATGTCGTAGTCCAGGGAAGGTTAAACGGTGAGGGGTGATACGAAGCACACCGTGTGATCTAGTTATAAATAAAGCTTGCAGTTTTATTCTAAGACAGATGCGATCATTTTGACTCATTTATATTGAGCTTTATGCGTACTCATAAGTATTTTATATCTTTTTATGTTCAGCATACAATGTGAATCCTTCATAAGCCTTTAAGTATTATTTTTACCAAAATTAAATTTTCCATCGATTATTTTAACGTAGGTATAATATCTAAGGTTTAATTGCATTTTGTGATTTACGACTTGTAGAGATGTGCTAGGTTCGTACTCTTAAAATTAACATTCGATATATAGTAAATTTTTTCGTCATTTAGCCTATTCTACCTTGTACAGGGAAAAATTGTAACCAACCTAAAAATATTTCCAATGCTTTAATAAGATATTAAATATGTTATTTAATATTTTCATGTTTATTGTATGTTATTAAACAAAAGGTATTTTGACAAATATCGGTCATTGACCTCCAGATACAGTACCTAGCTAGATCATCATAAGTAGCAACGTGTTTATGGACATACTTTTCACCTCGTGAGTCGCACTCGCCTTAAATAAAATTATTGTATAACATTTGTTGTATAATAAACTTAAATATTTATTATTAGTATAGTTACAGCAGTAACTTAGGTACATAATCTATAAAAATTTCAACTGTCTATCTATCTCAGTTCGGGAGATACAGCTTGGTTACGCACAGACGGACCGCAGACTCTCAGCAACAGGGTCTTGGTGGTCCACGCAGAAAACAATCGTGAAAATGTATTGGTGTAATGAACATAATACATAGTATCTAACACATGAGGATTATGTATAATAGAAAGGTATAATCAACGGATGTTGCTTTTAAGAGTACCTACGGATGCTGTTCCCTTGCTCTAGTCCTAGACATTATTCTAGATTTGTTATAATTTACACTCTGTTTATTGAGGGGTGTTAGAAATAACATAAGACATGTATATAGTAGAGGTTAACGTTTTGTATGTATTCTTGGGAAGCCCGCGGTTTGTTTGTATTATTACGGATGAGGTGACTATCGACTTGTACAAATGCAAATTTGCATTTATTTATCTTATAAGTTATGAATTATATGAAAAAAATAAATATATTTTAATGTTGTTGTAAGTGGGACAATAAAAGTTATCGATTACCTATGGTGATTTTACGAATTAGTAATTCCTTCGTAAGGTGCTTACTAATGTTTTTACTTTCTCTTTAAGATGGCGAAATGTAAAATCTATGATGATATATGGGTAATTACATAAATTTGTTTTTGTTTTCAATGTTTAATGAAAGGCCTCTCGGTATACAGTACACTGGAAATAAATAGGCTAGCTCTTGACATAGTCCCAAAAAGCGCGCGATTTAAGAATAACTGTTACCTACTGTATGTGTCAAACAATATTTAATAAGATTCCGGAATCTATAAAGAATACACCTCTTACAAGATTTAAGAAAGAGTTATATAACTGGCTTGCTGAGCGTTCCTTTTATTCGTTGCATGAGTTCTTGGACTATAGAAACTGAACGTTAGCTTGGGGTGGATTGATCAGTGCTTATAGTGACTTCTTTTACTACATTTGCATGCTATTGTTAATGGCTGAATAGGAGATAATTGTATTACTTTTTACATCTCTTTTGTATACCCTATTCAAACGCAAATAAATTAATCTCGTTGCCACATCAGCGATACGAACACTCTTAATTATTGTTTGTTTAAATAAGAATTTATCGGTGTATTTGTTGCACGAGTCGTCGGTCACCTCCGAGTTGAGCTTTATTCAATGTACGCGCCGGGTGCGGCATTGTGATGCCATGAATATTACTAACTATTGTAATACAATATTATTTATTGAATAAATGATAACGTTCATATTTTTAATCGTTTTATTGAGTTCAATCGAAGAAAGATGAACTAAACCTGAATATTATGTAGGTAAGTAATGTTGTTTTATCAACAGCCTGTTAAACCCCCCATTGCTGGATATCAAGCGTTTCCTATGAACGGAATCGACACAAATTGTTGACAGACGGGTGGCCACGACCCTTTTTTTTCCTTCCCTCTGTATGGGGAGGACGATCCGGGGTCCAGCAAGGAGTCCGCGGGATCCAACCCTACAAGGATGGCCACGACCCACCACGAGGTAGCAGTGCGGATTGGTGGGTGTGTTGACACCAGCAGTTGGTCACGACTGGATCTGCAGTCGTTAGAATGCAGATCCAGCCGGAGCCAACTCTTAACGTGCCTTCCGAAGCACAGAAGAGTTCGAGATCTATCGATGCATACATTTTTGCACACCCGTCCTATGATCGGTCCTTGTGATAGTTGCTAAAAACCTACCCACTGCGACATCGAGATCCTTCACAATGGTCAGTTTGCTCGAAATAATCTCTAAGGATAATAAGTTACTTTCATATAATGTGTCATCCGCAAACGCGAATATTGCCTGACATTTTTAGTTTTTTAATATTTTTATAAAAGCTTTTTATTCAGTCATTCAAATGTGAGAAAAATATGTTTTGAACAAGAATAAATATTATCTTGACAAAATACCCTAAAAAAAGACAATAACTATTATAGGTAACCAGCGTAACGTTTAATAAATAATTTCTAAATTTACAAGTTCTGGCTTAAGTACACCAACATACTTAATTATATCATATTGTATCTACATGTATTTAATTAAGCTTAATAAACTAATGTAACGCAAACAGTAGTAATTATGAAAAAAAGAAAACTCAATGAATATGCAGAATTAGTGTCATGGTCATCGGCAACAGGAACACCAGAATCAGTTG